ACCTCTTAGAGAAGGCTAACGCACAGTACTAGACTAATATTGCTAAGTACTAAGCTTAATTAAGCGACTAGGCTTCCTGCGCAACGCGTTTTTAGACAATCTAGAACTAGGTTAATGCAACTGTTACACTAGAGCTCCTAGGACCTATAATAATGCAGCTTATATTAAAGAACTAATCTACCCTATAGGCACTTATACAAGCCTTAAAACAAGAGCTAGCACTAATAAACACAAGCACAAAGAATCTTATATAAGTAAAGTATAAAGCTTACCTTACTAAGGTAAAGCATAGCACTATAACCCTAAAAGCTTAGTACTAGCAGTGGCACTTCTTATACACTAAGGTAAGGACCTACAAGATTCTTAACATAGAAGGCTAGCTAGCTGCATAAGACTTCCTAGACGCCCTAGCTCTAAAGCTTGCACTAGACTAGGCGCGCTCTATGCACTAGAGGGTTATAAAGGCTAGCGCACTTAGCAAGAAACCTCTAATAATCTAAAAAATTAGTAAAATCTTCTTAACAATGCTCTAGAAGCACTCCCTACATGTAAGCAACTAAGGCATAAGTATATTTACAACACTTAGTAAATAATTAGATAATAATTTAGCCTAATCTATTTTAGCCTAATTAGGCCACCTGTGCCTATGCAAAGCTTTAGAGTAATCTCTTTATCTATAAAAAGCAGCAGACTGCAGAGACTTTATATTAGCAGTTACTAAAAAGCTAAAGAAGCTTAGTAAAACTGTACACTAGAAGATCCTTAAAAGGCTTAAGTAAGCGCAGCATAAAAAAGTAAAAGCTGTACTACTTAAAAGAGGCTACATAATTCTAGACGCAGCCTCCCCTACTCTAAAAGCTATTAAAGGATTAAACAAGCTAGCATTCCTAGGAAGTATTATTACTGCACTTATTAACCTAGCGCTTCTAGTAAAACTAGGGATGCATGTAACTATAGATTTTAACGCTTACCTACTCTTTATAAGCATAATTCTAGATAATAAGAGTGCCACACACTTAGTAAACAGTATAGAGCTGCTTATACCTAGGTTATTTAAAAAAGCTTAAAGTTTACACACAGTAGAAGCTAGCACCTAGTTATTTCTAATCTAGGGAACAGGAACTAGAAAGCTTAGAGAGGTGTTAAATAAAGTATAAGAAGAGCGCACAGAAGATCTTACACTATAAAAAGTAGTTATAGTAGAAGGATTTTATGTTAATATTATCTTAAAAGCTTATTTAAAAGAAAAAGGACTATAGTATTTAAAACTTAACTATACACTGCGCATAAGCACGCTAGAAAAGAATAAAGTACTTATAACACTTTACTAAAAACATAACCTTATGTTTGTTAAATATAAAGCTGTCTCTTTCTACCTACTAGTGTAAAGTGTGCTCCTAGATTACTAACACTTATAGACTACATTCCTACGCTTAGACTTAGAAGAGCTCTAGCATGCGCGCGCAGGACACCTAGGCTCTAAAGCTCTACAGGCTCTAGTTAAAAGCGTAAGGAACATATAAATAACAGGTACAAAGCAAGTACACTATAAGCACTGCGCAACAACACACGCTAAGCAGGTTATATTAAGAAGACTAAAAGAGCAAGCTCCTTACCTATTTTAAAGAATTACATAAGACATGTTTAATATGCTATTAGGGCGCAGCAGAGCTCTATAGATAATAATTATTAAGAATAAATATAGTAGTAAAATTTTTTTATACTTTTTTTAGGCAAAAACACTCTTAGAAATCTAAAAAGTAATAAAAAACTTTAAAAGCATAGTGTCTAATTAATATAAGCTTTAGATTAGTAAAATATAGTAAGATAATAACACTGCTACACTCTTTTAGCATAGAAAGTTAAGGTATAAGCTTTAAGTAAAAAAATTTAGCATTAATATTAAAAGCTCTCTACTATACACTTATAAGCTAAATAAAGCTGTAGAAAAAGCTAGATAAAAGATAATTATAAAGTCTATTAAGATAAGAAGTAGCGCAGGACTCCCTAAGAAGCTCTAGCCAGAAGTAGTAGACGCAGCGACATGGCTGTACAATATAAGCCTGTCGCACGCACATAACCTACGCTTACTAAATAAAGTCTTAGACACATAGTTTACTAACTACTTTAAATACTATAAGCTAGAGTAAGTAAGAAGTGCTATAGCTAATCTAAGGCCTAATTAGAGCAGGACCTACGCATATAGCTGTCACACTTACCTACTTAACAGGGAGCAAGCAGCTAGGCGTTAGAAGCAAAGCTTTAAAGTAACTTTATAGGGCTATATAAAATATCTTGTAGGCTATAGAGCTTTAAATATCTATAGAATATAGGTCCTATTACTTAACTAAGTAATTACTATAAGAAATGTAGCTTTTAATAAGACACACTTTTATAAAAATAAGAGTAATAAGCTAATTCTTTAAAAAAAAGCCTTTAAAATTATTAAAATTTTTAATAAGTAAAGTAAAATTTATAATATAAAAGAAGCTTTTAAGCTTTTACCTTAAAAGTTAAATAAGTAGCAAAGTAATATACTAAATTAAAGGCCTTAAGAGCATAAGCTTAGAAGTGTAGAAACTAAAAAGCTTATTAAAACTTAGGTTAGCTAGCTAAAGAATTAGCACTTAAAGGTAGAAGTAACTGCGCAGGTAATAAGCATAATAAGTAAGTTACTAAGAATTTACGCAGTTCCTAATAAACATATAGCACTTATTACTCTAGAGCTAACTTCTAAGCTAGAGCTTACAGATAGCTCTACAACACGCCCTATATAGGGTAGGCACAAGCATACTAGTAATCTCTAGTAAGTGCACTTAACTAGAGAAGTAGATCTACTAGGCTTATTAAGTTAAATAGCTAACTTACTAGTTAAAAAATTAACTTTTACCTCTTACACTAGAATATTATCTTCTATAGCTCTAGTTAAAGCAGGTAAGGCACCCCTTAAATATGCGTATAATAAAAAGAGCTAGGGACTAGCTACACACATAAGCTAAAGAATATAGAGGCAAGATTTTAATAACCTAGGTAAGCCTAGAGGTGCAGAAAGCAGAGGTATATATACAACACTCTTAGAGAGAAGTAGTATACACCTAGCTCTAGTTAATCTAGAGCACCTCTAAATAAACTTCTTTAGAGCATTTATTACTTACAACAACAGAGTGCTTAAAACACTCTACATAGTGTTTTTTATAGCTGCTTTTTTTAGGCAGCCTTAACTAAGAGCTTATAAGCTCTTAAAGAAACCCTTAAAATAAAGAAATTTATATAAACACTTATATAAAGATCTTTTTAAAATTACAGCATAGAAAAAGATAGCTACCCTACTTAAAAAAAGCACTTAAAAAAAGATTATGTAAACTAAAGCAACATCTAAGCTGCTCCTACTAAAGTAGGTCTTTATGTACAAATTTAACTAAGATAGGTATTTTGCTAAATGCAAAGCTTGCATATGCGTATGTGGTAATCTCTAGAGCAAGGACTTGCTCTAGTTAACCTATGCTGCCACTCTTGCAGCTAGATCCTTCTAAATAGTAATAGCAATAGCAGCTTAATTTAACCTAAAGATTAGGCAATATAATGTTATAGGCGTGTTTCTAAACGCGCACTGTAAAGGTAAGCTAAAAGTAACATGCAAGCTCCTAAAAAGCTTTACAAAGCCTAGCATGTGCGTTAAGCTTCTCTAAGCCCTATACAGACTATGTAACTTACTAATTTTATAGTACTAGAAGCTCTTATAGGCTCTTTAAAAGCTTAACTTTATCTTATTTAAAAAGAAGCTGTGCTTATTCTTTAACTATAATTACTATATCTTACTTTTTTTTTATGTAGACAACATACTCTACATCTATTACTATAATAATAAGTTAAAAGCTTACTAATTAATTAGTGTAATTAAAAAAATATATAAGCTAGAAGATTAAAGGCTGTGCAAATAGTTTCTAAAGATTAAAATAATTAAAAATAAAAAAGCTAAAATAATTTAGCTAGTACACAACATGTATATTAAAAAAGTAGTAAAGAAGTTTAACTTTATAGAAAGCGCGCTTTTTCTAGGAACTCCTCTACTATTAAAAGAGCTTATAAGCAACTAGGGATTAGCAACAAAGCATAAAATTAAGGAATACTAAGAGCGCGTAGGATTAACACTTTACACTGTAATTATAGTGCGCCCTAACGTAGCGTTTGCAGCATCTTAGCTCTTCTACTACCTAATAAACCTAGGAAAGCAGCACTTCTAGGCAGTAAACTAGGCAATTGTGTACCTATACTGCACAAGGCATACAGGCATATAGTATAGAGCACTAGAAGGCGCGTAACTTATTATATATAAAGACGCGTCTTTTGCTAATTACGCAGAGACTAAATAATTATTCTATAAATACATTATCTTACTTTTTAAAGGACTAATCTTATAGAAAGCAGCTCTCTAGCTAATAGTAACTATGTTTATAACAGAAGCTAAGCTGCTAGCTCTAGCGCACATTATAAAGAAATTACTAGCTCTAAAACGCTTCTTTAAAGAGCTTACTCTAGAGCTAGGCACACTATAGCAGATCTACTGTGACAACTAGTAGACAATCTAGTTAGTAGTAAAGGAGAACGCCTAGATAACTACCTACCTGCGCCACATTAATATTTAGAACATGTGGCTGCGCTAAGAGCACACAAAGGGATCTTTTAAAGTGCGCTATATTAAAACAAGCAACATGCTAGTAAATAGACTTATAAAGCACTTACTAAAGTAGTAATTTAAGCACTTTAAGCAGCTTCTTAACTTTAAAGACATGTAAACAAGCTTCTAAGGGGAGAAATTATTAATTATTAATAGTAAGGACATCTTTATACTGCTTAGGAACAAGAGGGCTATCTACTAGCAGGGACACCCCCCTATGCTATAGAGTTTAAGCAGGGATTTAGTACATAAGATGCGCAGAAACACAGAACGCCTAAACTATAAAGAGATTAACAAGCTTACCTAAGAGCTCCTTAGCGCGCTAGCAACGCGCCAGGAGCCCAGGGGACACGTCACCCTGCTCCTCCTCCCCCTCCTCCTCCTCCACCTCCTCTTCCTCTTCCTCTTCCTCCTCCTCCTCCTCCTCCTCTCCCTCCTCCTCCTCCACCACATCCTCTTTAAGCAGAGCTTAAAGAACCAGCTAAAGCTAGAACGCAGCCTATAGCCTGTTAGTCTAATCTAAGGTATGACACACAATCTCTGCAGAGAAGCTTACCCGCTTGTCCTCCGCAACAAGCGCTGCAACAAAGCGCTGTGCATAGACAACAGCAACAGGGGGACTGCAAATAGGTTAAAAGCTAGATCACCCCACACACTGCTACAAGGCTTACAGGGGCAGGCAGCTGTGCCCAGAGGAACAGCGCCAACAGCGCGAACCGCTAGAGGCGGAATTATGGCACTCCCTACTGGAGCGCCCCGCGAGCGCACTCTTTATGCAGCCCAGACAGGACTGCGCGCGGAGCGCACCAGGGGGAGGCCGGCGGGGGGTGGTGGGCGCAGGGCGACGGGGGGTGGTGGGCGCGGGCTTGCGGGTACGCGCAGGCCGGCGGGGGGTTGTGGGCGCAGCGCGGCGGGGGGTAGTAGGCGCGGGCTTGCGGGCAGCGCGGCCCCGCAGAGCGGCGGCACGCGATTAGGCGGCTCTTTTAGCTTTATTAAGCTACAGATGCACGTTAGCAGAGATTGCAGACAGGTTTAAAGTTGTTCTTAAAGCTTAAAAGCATTAACTTACACGCAGCATGTTAGTTAGATCTAAAGAACAGGAGCTTAAGAAGCAGGAGAATTTATTTACCTCTGTTGCAGCAATCACAGCACGCACGTGACCTACGCTGCCTAGGGAAACAAGCATTGCGCTGCCTAGGGCAACAAGCACAAACACAGGGTAAACGCACAACGCAGCTCCAACAAGCCAAGTAGACGCTCAACGCAGGTGAGCTGCTGCGCAGCTCACCTGGGGGGTGTGTCGCGTATACTGAGAGCCTTGGCTGGGGCTCAGAGCCTGGGACTAGGGCTCGGAGCCTGGGACTGGGGGCTCAGAGCCTGGGACGCAGCTCGGGATCTGGAGATATTATGTTCCGAAGCTCGGTGTATATAAGGAGAGCCTTCAGCTCTCTTAGATAGCAGAGTCACTTCATCCGATCTTCTGAACAGCTACTGCCAGGCTATTTTATCCTCCACAAAAGGAAATAACTAAATAAATTATATAACTAAAATAAACTAAATAAATAAAATAAACTAAATAAATAAAATAAACTAAATAGTTTTTATTTATAGTTTTACTATATATAACTACTAGTAGTACTATTATAACTAGAGATGCTAGTAGTACTTTTATTTTCTAACTCTTCTAACTCTTTTTTATCTTCTAGATTTATTATTTGTTTTTGTTTTCCTTTAGAACTACTAGGTAAAGTATAATTATAATAAAGTTGCTTTTTACTATAAGAATAGAAATAGCAATTATAAAAATATCTACTTACTAAATATAGTATAAAATATATATCTTTTTAACATTAATTTTTTTACTTAAACTAAAATTATTAGCAGAGCTTGCTCTGCTTATTATATTCGGGTTTGCAGAATAAAAAGTTGAGCAGAATCTTCTCTTTTAGACGCGCTAGTTAGTTAGAATTTCTTTAGATAAACCCTAGTAACGCTATTTCTCTGTTACCTTATGTATTTCTTACATTCTTTTTTAAAAAAATATATACCTAGTATAGGTGCACCTTTCTGTTAATTTGCATGCAGTTTGCTCTAGCATGCGTTGTGTAAAACATGTTTAAATTATAGTTAGTTGCGTCTGTTCCACCTCTCTAGCCACATCGGTGTGTCGGGGATTGGCATCAGCCACATTGGTGTGTTGGGGATTGGCATCAGCCGCATCGGTGTGTCGGGGATTGGCATCAGCCGCATCGGTGTGTCGGGGATTGGCATCAGCCGCATTGGTGTGTTGGGGATTGGCAGTTGCTCACACACCTGAGTTGCTTACTTTTGCTAAGACTACACCACAATAAACTTTATTATAGCCTATAACAACCTGCTCTAGCACTATAGAGTAGAGTACAGCTTAGAATATTATTTAGATATTACTTCTACTTCTTGCTTACACGTTTGCGCGTTATGCCTAGTCTAATTGCACTGTCTGCAGCGCCTTGTTACAGCCAACAGACAGACCGTAATGACCCAATTAGCTGTCCCTCACAGCCCCAGCGACGTCGGATGGAAGGCACTTAACTCCACGTTAGACGAATCACGTGACAGGACGGATGAGGAATGGCTTCAGCTTTTAGACAAAAGCCTAGCAGAGTGCATCATCTAATAGAATCTGCAGGCTTGCAGGTTTGCAGGCTGTGCAGGCCACCCAAGCATGCAAGCATGCAAACATGCAAAGCATGCAAACCCTATGTATATAGTCTTGATCATGACTATAGTTAGGAGGTTGTAATTACTATTTAGTCTTTACCTACTTAATAGACTAAGAGGCATTAAAACCTTTATAATAAGGACAGTGCCGCCTTGTATATCTTGCACTATATATACCTCTATTCCTACCCATCTAGGTCAGGTTTGCCAGCTCCCTATACAGCTGCTGGGCTAAACCACAACCCGCCTACCTAAAACTGCTCTACCCACACTCTGCTTAACAGACTATACACCTAATCTAGCTAAGTCTTTACTCTTTCTTACTAACACACTTATAGGCTGTAGTGCTTCTAAAAATACTATTTTAACAGAGTAAGAATTATAACAGTAATTACTACTACCTACAAAGTATAGCATCTTACACCCCACACCCTAACTTTAGAATGACGGGCGCCTCCGCAGCAGGCACAAACAACACCCTGTTACAGACAGAGGAAGCCTAAAACTAGTAAATATTGTACCTTTAATAAGAGCTTAAAAACTTAAAAGCACAACTCTTTTTATATGCGCAAGCACTAGCTACCTAGCAACTCTAAAACCTACACTTAGAACTAGCAAACTTTAAAAACACTACACTTAATAAAACTAGCATTAAATTAAAAAAATTACTACGCCTTATACTTTTAACACCTTTTAATAGTACACTTAAGAACCTTAAACCCTTTTTTACAAGATGCTACCTCTATATATAATATAATAAAGGGGCATTCTAAACAGACAAAGAAATAATCGCCTAGATAGGCCTACACTTAAAGGGATCCCTAGCTATATAGTTCTAACCCCACACAAATAGTTAGATAAAGCATAAGATAACTAGAGATCCTATTTCTTTAAAAACTTAAGAAGTCTTCTAGAACCTAGATACCTTTAAAAAAGCACTAACTACTATCTATAAGGTTATTAACTAGAAAGAAAAAGCAGTAAATAAAATAAACACTTTATAATAAAAAAAGAAATAGTCTAGTAATACACAGCCTACTTTTATAAATAATTAGCTATTAGCAGATAAACTAACTAAGAAGTAATAGGACATATGTTTTATAATAGACTTACTAATATAATAAAAAATAAGTTTATGCACATAAGAAAACTAACTACATTTAAGAAATATATTAAGAAAGCATTAACTTATAATAAACAACACTAAGAAGGTCTAAATAAAAGACACCCTAGCATAACTATCTAGAAATTAGAACTATTTTTATAAAAAAAAGAACTCTTAGTTTAACAGCAAACTAATAGACCTTAGTTATGCTAAACATATACATAGTACTTTTAAGAAAAAGAGCTAATTCCTCTAGAGTAAAAAGCTGCCTCTAAATAAAAAATAGTAAAAGTAGCTTAAAAATAAAGCCTACCTTAACTATAAAAAAGTAGAACACTACTGTTAAGAGTGCCTAGACTCTAGAAAACTAGAGAATAAAGATAAAAGATTAGCTATAAAAGCTATGTACGCTGAAACTAGCCTAACAGCGGATAAGCTACGTGATAGGCTGGATAAATAACTCTGCTAGAGATGTAGAGCTAACTATAAATTACCTAATTATTAGGTAGACTATTAGGATGTTAAAGTCTAATAAAAAGACAGTATCTTTAGGGCTATTAAACAGGCTGCAATTTTTAAAGGATAGTAGAACCTAACATAAATAAATAATTATATTAAAAATGTAAGAAAAAAAAAGAAATAATATTTTACTTAACAAAAGAAAATAAAAGTCCTAGTAAAGGAACTTAAATAACAGTTTAAACAAAGAAACTGCTAGAAATGTAGAGAACTCTATAGCTACAACTTTTGCTAGATAGGACTTTATAAGGTAGCCCTAGATAATAACTATAACATGTACAAAGTTATAAGAAGGATTGCTATAGTCTACTATAACGTATTAAATAAAGAAAAGTAACAAAAGTTCTTCTAAAAAATATAGGCAAAAAGGCAAGGCCTAAACTAGCACTAAATGTCTCTTTAAGTCCTAGCGCTATTATAAGAATAAGTATACACTTTACCCCTAGCTCTAGCTGTAACTAGAAAGGAACTAGAAGAACAACAAAATTATAAATACTACATTTTATGCAGCAGCAGACAACATACTAACTTTTAATGTAAGTATAAGAATTATCTACTATAGATAATCTAGACAAAGGAATATCTCTAATAGGCATAAATACAGCCTATACTAATTTAAACTAACCTAAAACAATGCTTATACACTTAGTACTTATGCATAAATAAGTACTGTGTATAACACTAGCTAATTAAACACTAAGCAGGATAGTAGCTAATTAGTGCATAAGAAAGTAAGAAATTTACTAACACTCTTATAAAGACAGCTACAGCATGTAAAATGCTAAACTGTTTACACTGCAGCACTAGACCTACCTATAAATAAAAACCCTAGACTAAATGCAAAAACACCTTAGACTACGCTTTTTACTACTTTTAGTAGAAAGCTACTTAACAAAACAACTAACTTCTCTACTACTATAAAATAAAAAACATTAATTACCTAGTAGAGAAATGCATAATTAAAGAATATTAAAAATTTAAAATCTAAGCAACCTAAGCATAGGACTAGATACACAATATTCTATGCCCTAAAAAAAAGACACAGAGGAAGACTATATGTTAGGTATTAAATAAAAAGACTTTAGCCTAAAATATAAAAAAAATCTATTACAACATAAAAGCCTTAGTAGCAGTAAAGTAAGGCTTAAGTAAAAGCCTAATAGCTAACTACACACTTAAATTCTCTAAAAGAATAGTATGTAAAGGCCTTACACTAATTAATAGTAGATGCATGTTTATAGTAATTAACTCTAACTAGGTTAAAAATTACAAGATACTATGCAGAATAAAAAAAAACCCTTCTAAGTATCCCTAGCTAATACATTACTTATTAAATATAGCAGAGGAAAAATTTAACTAGAAACTAAAGAAGTAACCCTAAAGACTAAAACTATAATAAATTAAATATTACTAAGCATACTACTACTCAGGGTTGCCGTTTACTATAGTAATAGTAATTACTATTACTATAGTAATTACTATGCAACCTTTTAGCTCTAGTAATAGTAATTACTATTACTATAGTAATTACTATAGTAATCTAGTAATTACTATTTACTAAAAATAGTATAAAAGTATAACATAAGTCTTAATTAGCTATTTAAAATTTATAGCACTTTTAACTTTATTTTTCTTATTTTACTTAGACTACTATATTTAGACAAACTAAGTAAACTAAGTAAAATAATTTAACTAAATAAACTAATCTAACTAAATAATTTAAATCATCTAAATAAAGTAAATAACTTAAGTAAACTAAGTAACTTAAATAACTTAAATAAACTAAATAACTTAAATATAAAAAATAACTAAAGTAAAAGAAATAACTAAAATAAAGGAAATAACTAAATAAATTATATAACTAAAATAAATAAAATAAATAAAATAAACTAAATAGTTTTTATTTATAGCTTTACTATATATAACTACAAGTAGTACTATTATAACTAGAGACGCTAGTAGTACTTTTATTTTCTAACTCTTTTAACTCTTCTTTATCTTCTAGATTTATTATTTGTTTTTGTTTTCCTTTAGAACTACTAGGTAAAGTATAAATATAAAAAAGTTGCTTTTTACTATAAGAATAGAAATAGCTATTATAAAAATATCTACTTACTAAATATAGTATAAAATATATATCTTTTTAACATTAATTTTTTTACTAAAACTAAAATTATAATATAATATAAATAAAGTTAGTAATATTAATAAGTAGAATAACTTTAGTAAAGTAAATATATATGTTAAATAGTATTATATAGCGTTATTATATATTATTATTATATATATTATAGTTGCTTAAATTATAGTAATTACTTGTTAATTTTTTTTTTCAG